TTTAAAGTTTAAAATGTATGAATAATTTGTATCATGTATTGTATTACATAATATTATTATAATTTACTTGTATAACCTACTTGAAGACAGACCAAGTTGATAATTGAATAAAATAGGAATTGCTTCCAGCTTTAAATTCGTCTTTTTCAGCAGAATTCATAACAAAATCATAGTTTATAAAATGCTCCCAATATATTTTAGTGTTTTTGTTAATTTTATCAACTTCAACCGTTCCCTATTCTAGGTTTTGAATCCAAATTTCCATTGTTTCAAAATTTGTATGAAACCTTTTGAAACTTCTCCAAATGTATGTTTTAGGACAAACAAAAATTAAATAGTAAAATTTTTAAACTTAGGTACAACTAAAAAAATTCGTTAAAAAAAATTCCAAAAACTCTAAAATATGCCCTGAGAATATAAAATCACACAAAAGGTTCTTTCGTTCGCTGTTGGTGCAGTGTCCACCACTGTTAATTACACCAGTTACACCACTTTATTTATCCTAGTTTACTTCCTACTTATTCCTTATACACATGTCGAGTGTAATTCACTCCTGCTAAATTGCTGGTGGAGAAAATATTCACCAGTGGATACCACATCGCCCACAGGATAGCTATTCACTAAGTCATGGGAGCGCTCCCATGGGAGTGCTCCCATATATTTTGCTCTCTTACTCTTAGGTGGGTATATCGTGCTTACTCACTTTTAGCCCAGGTACATGCGTAGTAAGGTCAGATTTTATACTATGGGAGGGAGAATTGCGGGCTTGCCAGATTAGGTCCGTATTTATCACAAAGCAAATTTGAATTACTAAGGGCTGGTTCCACCGTTGAGTTAAACGGAGATTAAAATGACATTGTTAATGTAAAAATGTCATTTTAAACTTCGTTTAACACAACGGTGGATCGGTCCTTAAATAGTAGATCAAAGTTATTCTGTCGACTTGGCAACGTTGGCATGGGAGTATGGGAGCATGGGAGTGTGGGAGTGCTCCCATGAGTTAGAGAATAGGTATCCTGGACAGTATAGTGGAACAGAACACTTACTCTTAGAACGGTATCTCCCATGTTAAAAAAGGATGATATAATTTTCAGCGGCACCTGGCGGACGTGGTTGATTTTTTTCAATTAAGTCCTTGTCTGGTAAGAGGCCATATAAAAGAAGAGAAAATAATAAAAAGAAGAAGAGAAAACAAGCGCGGGGTTATTCAAATTTGACAGTAAAAATTATCCGCATTAAAAACTGTTAGCCAAATTAAGATTTGTTCACACAAACGGCATTTTTGCTTTATTATAGCGATATTCGCTATAATAAAGCAAAAATGCAGTTTGTGTGAACAAATCTTAATTTGGCTAACAGTTTTTAGATAAAAAAAACAAGCATATTCAAAAAATAAATTTATTAAAGAAAATATTTATAATACAAATCCAATATTTAAAAAATGTAATGTATATGAAAATTGTAATATGTATGAAGTAGCTGGATGGCTGCTACATATTCCAGGATACAACACTGTCCATCATTTTGTGAAGAACTTTATCTGTGAAAAAAGAAAGACAGTATAAGTACAATCTCATTAAAATAAATGTATTAATAAAAAATTATAAGTCCGAGGAATACTTTATTTTTTAATAAGTCCAACATCTATGATACAGCTTTGCAACCCCAAACGTCATGAAACATAAATTTCACAGTATATGCCGCGTTTGAGAATCCACATCGGATGCTGAGATGTAGTAAATCTTTGATCACGTGATTCAGTATACGTAAATGTAATGGGACAGATTTAAAATAAACTATTTGAGGCGCTGTTCTCCACATCTCAGCAAATGGGCTAAAATAATAATTTATAATACTCTAATATTACCTCATTTTAATTATTGTGCCACTATACTGTATTTGCTCAACCAGAATGAGTTGCAATAATTGCAAAAGTTGCAGAATAGAGGTATGAGTATAATATTGAGCTGTTCGAGATTGGAACCAATCAATTCCATGTTGACTGTGCTTCAGTAGTTGCCTGTTAAAAAATATTTGCTATTCTATTTCCTGCTTTTTATATTTAAAATTAAATCAGGAATCTCCCCAGTATATTGACAAAATATTTTAAGTTATAATCAGGATGTTCATGAACATAATACACGTAATAAGAAAAATATTAGAGTTTATAAGGCCACGAAAAAATGTACACAAAATTCAGTGTTTTTTTAAGGTGTACATGCTTTTAATAATTTGCCTGAAGATATTAAATGTTCTTCAAACGCAGCAATATTTAAAATAAAACTGCGTGAATACCTGTTGACCTATTCACATTTTTTTTCTCTTTCTTGTCCTTTTATTATGTTTTGTATAGTTGACATGTAAGTGTACTTGTATCTTATGTATTTTTTATTGCATTTTAAATATATGTTGATTCTATATTTATGTATTTTTTATATTTTAAATGTGAAGATGTATTGACACGTAAAAAATAGTTTTTTTGACTAAATAAACGATTTATATATATGTGGATAAAAAACGCTCGAGATGTAAAAAATGCATCTGATGTGGATTCTCAAACGCGGCAATAAGTATAAAATAAATGAGTAGAGTACTAACTTTCCTTCTCGAAAAGAAGTCCCAACACATATTATTAGTCTGCTTCTTCTTCTATGATGCAGCTTTGTAACCCCAAATGTCCTGAAACAGAAAATACACAGTATAAGTATAAAATAAATGAGTAGATTACTAACTTTTCTTCTCGAAAAGAAGCTCAACATATATTATTAGTCTGCTTCTTCTTCTTCGAACCTTTACTTGAAGTAGAAGGTGTTCGATCAACACATTCAATTTCTACATTATTTGAAGAAAGTCCATCCGCTACTCTTCCAGGAACTGCTGGGAGGTGTAGCATTGGAAAGCTTCAGATGTTAGACCTCGATGAGAGCCAACTACTTTATACTTCTCTTCAAAATGTTTATGACATACTACAAAGGTGGAATAAATTTGTAGTCTTGTTTTATTATTAAATCTTGGACAACGAACAGCAAGTGCCCAAATATCAAATAAATCGGGTGAATTCGTAGGGTGGGGCAGGCGATGCATCTTGTTGTCCACATCAAGGCAATTCGGTACACAACATTTTCTATAATTACGAATCTTTATGGAAAAGCACAAAATAACAGCGGAAAAAGCACAAGATAACAGCTCAAAAAGCACAAATTTATAATGGAAAAACAAGCTTATTAACAGTGGTCAACTAAATCAATTAAGCAAATTGGAAATGAAAACACAACTGAATACAACCACAATATAAATAAACAACATTCTCGTTTGGTTTAAGCCAAGACGCCATGACACTGCCCACAAAAATCAATATTCACCTGTCCTTTACACTCCCACCACCCACCCCACCACCCGACTGCAGCGCCACCTTGCGGACGTGGTTGATTTTTGCTCTATCCCAGGCCTGCCCATACCAGTTTCCCCCCTCTGTATAGTGGGTTTAAACACGGGGTTAACGAAAGGTTTAGTGTACGTTGGGGTAGTTTATTCCTACACCAGTGGGACGAACGAAAGAACCTATAATGTACAAACAAAACTGACAGTTCCCAATTGCTTGTTGACAGTTGTGAGAAAATTTTCCCGCTGCTATTTAAAATAGACGAATCACATTAAAGACCCAGGAGAAAGAGAAAGTAATAAAAAAAAAACGGTTCATATACTGGCTTCAAATAAATCCATACCATTAGTTATCTATTACTCATTTGTTTTATCTGAGAACTGAACTAATATATTTCATATCCATTCTAGGTAGTGAGAAATACTGTTATTTTTAAAATTTTAAATAGTATAGTTTTTAGTTATTGATATTAAATACATTAAAATAAGTTATTTTTGTGTAGAATCGATAAATAATAGCATTTCTATTTTTGTTTCGTCTATATTTTAAAATAAATTTAAAATTTTAACCAAACTATATTGAACTAGCGATGGAGGTCTCTTTTCCACTTGAAAGACCTGGGTTCAAATCTGGACTGGGGACTAACTTTATTTTATAAATTAGTAAAAGTCTAAATTTTTTTTAAATTAATTATTTTCTCTTATTAACCTAAACTTTTTTTAAAATTTGTAGATTTTCATTAGTGGGCTGTAGAAAAAAATATACTGTACAACTCGAGTGGATTGTTCATATCCACTCTCGTTACATAAACTACTATTTTGCAGTGTTCTCACTACCTAGAATGAATATGAATTATATTCGTTCAGTTGAACACGATAGCATACTTTTTCGTTTTGTAATATGCGCGTAGATAAGCTAATATCCATGTGAAAAAAAAATTATTTTCTCCTCGAAGAGTAGGCTTACGTCAAAACAATATTATAACGAAAGAAGGTAACCCATTTCTAATAAATTTTAATTATTTATTTTATTTTGCTGTGATCGTAGAAAACATCTTGTGTATAATTCGAGCTTAAAGTCCTTTGGCAGTTTTGACAGATTGCCGCGATCCGCTAATGCTTCGCGCGGCAACTTTCTGTCTCAACTGCCAAAGTACTACTTTCTGCTCTTAATACACAAATAGCTATTATTTGTTAAATATCTCTCTTTTGTTGGTTAACAAATCATGGACTATCGAATGCCATTTAGAAATTTGTAAAAAGTGATGTCAAATGTTGCTCGAATATTTAATGGTCATAACTTTTTTTGAAGGGTGTACATATACAAATAAGAATTTTTGTATTAGAAACGTAGACAAATCGTGGACAAACGAATTCCAACAATGTTTTTATAATAATTGCTTCACGTCCCTCAAAGTATTACTGACGGACGCTGTATACTGAAAGTTCCAAACGTTTGTTATAAAAAAAAAGAAGTTCCCAACTACTAAAGCTACAAAACAATATTTTAACGCTTAAACAATTTGTAATAGATTACAAATTTTTTGCACTTCCAGTTATCGTAATTGCTTGCTATTAGACCACAATGCGTCCACCAAGTCGACACCTACATGGCAGAACCGCAAATGCGACTTGGTCGACAAGGTAATCCGCCGCGGTGGTACCCAGGTACCACCTCATCACGATGAAGGTGAGGCTGTGCGGTGGATTATTCTAGTTTGTACCATCGAACGTTCCTCGTGATCGAGAAGTGCATCGGCGCCGATAAGTGGTACTGTTTTGACAAGTGGTACTACCTCCGGTAATTTTGATATCGTTGTAGGTAGCACGTGCGCGACAAGGGTTGATTTTTTAAGTGGTTAGTTTTTGTGCGGGTTATTTTCCATTGTTTAATATCATATTTGGTGGATTCTGTTTGTTTTGGCGCAAGTAAGTAATTTTTTTAATATTAATTAATAAAAACTGTAAAACTATTGAATGACAATATAAATTAATCGTATTTTATTCTGGGTAAGAGAAAAATGTTTTTCAAACTTTGATATGTCTACAAGAACTTCAAAAATGTCCCTATATTTTGTTGTCATATCTCTTTTAAACGTAGATTTTATGGAGAAGACAAGTATATGAAATATTAGATCATAATATTGCCTACTGATAGGTATGGTCGATATACCTAGTCCCCTAAAGCTATTTGATATCACTAATTTATAGTTTTCTGCAAATTTATTATGATTTAAACTTACAATATTTCTGTAATTATGATATTATTTGTGATTTGTTTCTGTTAACATATAATTTTAATATTTCCAGTTTAATTTATGATTATTTTTAAAGAGTATTTTTCATGACTCATTAAATTAATGCAAATTACAAATGCTGCAGGTATTTGTTGGTACGTACTCTCTGGTTTTAGAAGTAAATAAACAATAAAACCTATAATGTTAATTAGTTTTTTCCTTAATCACCCGATTGTAAAAATAGTCTAAAAAAGGCGCGCTTTAGTTAAAATAATTATACGTCAGTATTAGCATTTTATATACCTACACCTACGAAGAACAACTAGGAAATTGAATAATTTCGTTGTGCCCATATGTGATTTATTCGACTTTGTTACATTCTACAGGTTATTTGTTTGTAAAATTACTACGCACCTTATCAATGGACCGGAAGCTGCTGCCTCAAAACTTACTTAGGGGTCTATTCTGTAACAATTCCTTTATATTTAACGGCCTTTAAAAATATTGGCGGCCTATACAAATATGTTCGTATTCGTTAATTTACTTCTATCATTATTTAAACAGATTTCTTTAAGATACTCCTCTAATGTATTTTAAAGATCCGTTTAAATAGTGACCGAATTAAAAAAGAAAATATTTTTAGAGGCCGTTAAATATAAAGGAATTTTTACAGAATAGACCCCTTAGGAGTCTATTCTGTAACAATTCCTTTATATTTAACGGCCTTTAAAAATATTTTCTCCTTTACTTCTGTCATTATTTAAACGGATCTTTAAAATACATTAGAGGACTATCTTAAAGAAATCTGTTTAAATAATGATAGAAGTAAATTAACGAATACGAAACTATTTTTAAAGGCCGCCAATATTTTTAAAGGCCGTTAAATATAAAGGAATTGTTACAGAATAGACCCCTCTGTGAGATATAACATTTTTGACAGTCAGATTTGATGTGGATTAACACTATTTAATTTTTTTTTGTCTTAAATCTCAAATCGGGGGATTTGGCCATTAAAAATTGTCAAATTTAAAAAAAGGACCAAAATTTACGACACAAGCAGTGACGGCTTGTAATAATTTAAAATGGGTGTTCAATTTTTCCAATGATTTTAGCATTTGTAAGTTCGATTCAAAAATTTGTACAAGCGCCAATATCGCCGTTTTTTTTATTTGGGTTTGTATTAAGTGTAGTTATTATTATTATTATTATTATTATTATTATTATTATTATTAATATCATAGGTACTGTTGTCAAGCACTACAACCATTAATGAATGAATATTTTAGTTATTATAATATTTGTTTGAAATCCATCTATAAACATTATTGGTTATAGCCAGCTGATTTTCTTCATATTTTGAGATTATTTTGAATACATATTGTTATATAGAAATAGTGGCGCAGCCAGAATTTTGTATTAGAGGGGTTTTGAAAAAAAATTGGGAGTATTTAAAAAATATAATATTTTTTTACCTAGATTAACTTTTTTCATTTCAAAATCGTCTGAGTTCGCGTCTCGGTTTGGGGAGAGGGGGTTTAACCCCTAAACCCCCTCGCTGAGTCACTGTATAGAAAGCTTGACATTGATTTTTGGGTAAAAAATATCATTATATGAAATTTTACCTACTGTTTTTCAGTTTATATTGTAAATTTAATAATTTTTATAATTTGTCGCACATGTCAAATAAAATAATATATTTTTTAAATACCTTTTATTGGCAAATAAACCAAGTGAACTAAAATGTTTATTTTATAAGATCAGTCTCATCACAATACATACCATTACACAGATACTAACTAGAATGAAGATATATAATGCTTGGTATTCTAAATTATACTCTTCACAGTTTAAAAGACCCCCTTAACTCCATTTTCAATAAGATTTTTTCAGAATCAATAGGCTTTGTTCCCTTATTATAAAATACAAAAATTTCAAGTTGATATTATTGTTCGATTTTAAGTAACAATTTTTTTAAATATTTTTAGCCCCTTAACCCCCCCTTTTATACAAATTTTTTTCACAATCAACTTCTTATAGAGCTTGATTTTTAACTAAAATTTCTTTGTTGATATCGCTTTTCATTTTTGATTTATAATTGTTTTTTTAATTTCAACCACTTCATTTATAATCAGATTTTTTTCAAAATCAAAGAACTTCTTCTTCTCCTTACAGAGCTTGGTTTGCTAAAATGTTCAAATTGATATCATTTTTCGTTTTTAAGTCAGGGTTTTCTTTTTTAATATTTTAACCCTCCTTAACTCCCCAATTTATTCAGATTTTTCAGAATAAATAGACTTTATCTTCTTATAGAACTTCATTTTTAGTAAAAATTTCATGTTGATATAGGGACCGTGCGTGAAATATAGAGGCAGCACTACTGCCGAAGTTAGCCCTCTCTAGTGTTTAATTTTAGAATTAAATGGGGTAAACATTGCAAGTAAATAATAAAGGATATTTTTTAAAATATTAAATATAGTTAAATATACATACCGGCCCGTACCAAACAATCGAGTACATGGTCAAAATGATATAAAATGTAAAACATTATTAAAATCTGGACATGTATATACATTTTAAGCAAAAAGATTTAAATGGCTAAGTGACAATAAATTGCAAAGTTGTACCTCAAACAAAAGTATCCAATGTCAAAATATCGGTATTTAGTAACACTGAATTTAAAAGTATTACAATAACATTTAAAAAATGTAAATTAATAAAAAAGATTGGGAATAATAATAATTCTCTTTAGCTTTATGCACGGCTTTATGTTAGTCGAAATGTCATTCATCCACTGACGTTTATGAGACGCCCAATGATATACATATTATAGATTGCTCACCCATCTATAAAAAAAAATACTAAAAGCGGGTTGCAATGTACCTTTCCTAGTGGTCACTAAATAGAGCCGTTCTAGCCCAAATGTGTTTTAATATAAAATTTCAGCATTTTAATCTTTAGAAAAAGAAAATAATTAAAGTTTTACTTCAAGACACGTTATAATGTATTTGTAAAGTTGAGTTTCCATGTAATTAAATAATATTAAGAGATCTAAACAATTTTTAAAACAGATGGATATAAATAATTTTAGACCACTCTCATTTCAGAAATAACACTACATAAAATACATAATTGCAATATGTAATACAATTTTGAAAAGGAAATGTAAACAACTTTGATATAAGATATAAACAACTTTGGTAAGAGTTGTAATTGGACACATATATTATTCTGAATAATGTTTAATGGTAATGTCACTAAAAAAATTTACAAAAATCACTGGATTTTTAATATTTTAAAGTTTGTTGCAATATCTTTTGACAGTACTTGCAATGTTTTATTTATGATTTGTTTATTTTAGTAATAAATGAGAAATAGTTAATAAATTGTAAAGAGGGCTATGATATTTTTGTCAAATTGGACATACTTATTTCACAGTAACATTCTACATTAGTTTTAATCAACAGAATAAACCATTAATTATCTGTAAAATTATATTTGTATAAAATGTTCATTTAAATATGTAAAAATCTGAATGCCAAGAAAACACTAAAGATTCTAATTTCTAAACCGGTTTTGTAAATGATTTCTTTACAACTAAGTGCTCAAAATTGATAAAAGCTAGATAAAAAAAAAGTTTGCCCAGTGAAATACGCTTTTCGTCGTCTGATTTACATATGGATAAGCAATCTATGTAATTATGTATATCATTGGCTGTGAGACACTAATTTTACTCTGTGGAAATTTATAAAATTTCTTTACTATCGAATGAAATCCTGGTTTCCAAAGTAACGGTTCGTACATCCACGGATGCAACAAGTTTTTTCGATAATGATATTACGAAAATAATTCGACTTTATTTAATTAATAATTATTTAACAATAAATGCCGTATAAAATATTAATTAATACGCCCCACAAAGTTCAAATTTTTGTCACCAGTTAGCGTTAAAGTCATGACGCACGGTCCCTATCGCTTTTCGTTTTTAATTTAAGATTTTTTTTTAATTTCAACCCATCTTAACCTCCTATTTTTAATCAGATTTTTTCAAAATCAATAGGCTTTGTCCCCTTATAAAGGTTGATTTTTGCTTGAAATTTTCAATTTGATATTATTTTTCGTTTTTAACTTATCGTATGAAGAACAAAACAGTTGCATCTGACAGACGGTCAAAGTAAACTATAATACTCTTCACAGACTACTATCTTGTTCAAATAAAATTGTCATACTTCTGAAATATCTTCTGGTACAATGATTTTTCTTGGATGGCAACTACAATCTGATATCTGTTTAAAGTTAGGAACTAAGGGTTGGTCTTTTCACCTTCAGATAAAGTTCCAGTTAACTAACCAGCGGATATATTATCCGAGAGTTACTATCTTACAGATAATTAGGTTTCCGTCTTTTCAAGAGAAATAATCTGTAGGGTAGTTATCTGGTACTTTATAACGTTCTGTGGTCATGTATCTATCTTCATATCAATGCGATATGTCACTCTCACTGTCACTTGTTGTCATTATTTCGTTCTGTCACTTATTTGATAGAGGTTTTTGTATTTTTCTGAAAATATTTGTTATTTAAAACTCCATAAAAAGAAAAGATCGATAGATCGACCAACTTTTATTAGGCAAGATGATGCTTGAAACACAAAGCAGTACTGCAAAATAAAAAATGATTGTGGGGTCTGTTGTATTG